ACAAACCAAACACTGGCTGTAGGTAGGCAAATTTTTGCACGTTTTGCAGCCACTGTAGTTTCTCCCTTGTACATGGAAGGGGAGGGTGAAGCGAGGGAGTTGCAATCTGTAACTACACCGCTAGACCTACACCAGACCTGTAAGGAATTCTGTAACATCTTTTATGTTCCAGCAGAGGTTTGCCTGACCATAAGCCAAAATAACTGAACACAGTGCATTGCCTTAAATAGTCACTCTTGCACTTGGTACATTTTTCTTACTCTTAAGTTTTAGCAGGGACCTTTTACTGCTAAATTGACTCTTCAGTAAGTGTAATTCTAGGATCAGATAAATACGAGGGTATAAGAGGAGGTCTTGGGGTATGGTCTCTGTACATCCATTTCAGGCTCCTGTTGTGGCCACTTGTTCATCCCATGTCTCTGTACTCCCTGCTGCTCTCTCTTGCACAGTGGACCTGCTGTGGCTTCTCTTTTCCTCTTTTTGACCTTCTCTCATAAGTCACCACAGAATAGGTTTCCAGGACTGCTGAGGCTTTAGCTGACATTTTCTCAACAGCAGGTGGATTTGCTATTAACATGATCAAACCTGTGATCTTTTGGTAACTGAACTAACCTGCTACCCACACATTTGATTCCAGCAAAATACTCACACTACTCAGCGGAAATGTATTGAGTAGAAACCTAACAGTGCGACCCAGTGGGGCTGTTAGCGATTGTAATTAAGCATTACAGGAACATAAAATACTGAATAGGAAAAAAAAGTTATTTCAAAAACTAATTTGCCTTTAATCACTGGTTGAGCCTCATTCTGGTTTGGCAATTTAACACAGAGGATGCAGAGGGACACCTGTTTTTCATTGCTCCTCTGCTGGTGTTATTAAAATGGGTGGATGTGACAACAACCCACACCATCTTAATTACCTTCACTGAAATGGCATAACCCATAATCACAATTACAGGCTGGCAGGGTTGCTGATCACACAGTTGATTACCCCAAAACTCTATTATTAATGCTGCTCACAGGCTCCCAATCCCTAAAGACAATAGGGTGCATATTTATATATTAGGTTAAACTTATTCTTATTTCATAAAGGTATGGCACATTTTTCATCCTGATAGCTCCCTTTAAAGTTTTCTGAAACATTAGATATATAAAATAATACTTTCAGACTATCTGTCTTTCTCTTCCCACGCTCCACAGAGCAGAAACGGCCTCAAATAAGCCTCACAGATATTAATGCCTAATGCTATAAAGGATAATAGTACAACAAAAGCCGCTAGCTCACTGTAAACATTTACCATGATTGTATGCACAGATGCTGAAGGATGGATGTCTGAGCTACCAAATCCCCTAGTCGGCAATTTCCCCCCTGACATCTATCTTAACCTGAAGTCAGATTCCACTGAGAAAAGGCTCAGACAAAGAGAGAGCGTGTATGTATGGTAGCGTTTTCATTAAGCATTAATGGCCACAGGACTGAAAACTCATCATGGACTCATTAAATTTGAGTCCTTTTATCACCGTTTGACTTAGCAGAAGATGTTGCAGAAACAAAATCTCAGAGCTGTGATTTCTAAACTGGGACATCAGAGCCTTCAAATATGTAAAATTAGAAGTTTATGTTTTGTAATTAATAAAAGTACTCTTCTTCTATTGCGATTACAACCGAGTGTGTGAATCAAAGAACAGTTAAAGGCATTTAATTGTCTATACAAGCTGATTTTCACAATGTTTTGAAATAAAGGAAACAGCTGCCTTTAAATAAGGGGTGACGTATTGTAAAATATGTTTTTGTTGTGAAAGTCAGAGTTTGAATTGGATTACAAATTTGGACGCATGAATCCCCTGCATAAGAATGATTCATTTGTGGGTACAAATGACTAATTTATAGTATAAAATAGAAATAACTGTAGTCGAATTTACTAAGTGCGCTTTGAATATTACTAAAATGTTTGCTGTTCATTCTTTACATGTTAAAAAAAGCTATGGGTTTTGAACTTAGTTACAGAAATATTAATGAATACTGAAGGTCAGATGATGCTTGCTCTCAGACAAACAAATGTTTCCTTGCTTTCCATATGAGGGACAACTTTTACAGTTTTATGTCAGAAAAGACGTTGAACATGTTTTTCTCCTTGGGCTCAAGTTAAATGAATACATTAATACAATGGAGACTGGCCAGAGAGCAATCCATCCAGTAAATAGTAATTTATTTGCACAACCTATCAGAAATAGTTTTGTTAAGACCACTTTCAACGATAGATTTTTGGAGTCCCGAAGAAGAAATGTAAGCTGTTATCCACAAGCTTGAACTAAGCCACATACGCCACTGCACATGTTTGCCTTCTGCAGCTTGTTTAAGTGGGACATGATGCCTACTCTGCCCAATCCTTGGCGGTACTCAATATTAAGTACCTTAAGTACCTTAAGCACTGGTTATAGTAATAGGCTTGAATATGCAAATTTAGCACACACACCAAAACAAAGCACGACCACAATATAATATTGTCACTGCAATTTAGGGCTGAAATTGTGATTATTTTCATTACTAGTTAATCTACTGGATTTTTGTGTTTAAGTGTTTAATTAAAGATGGAGTTTTACGTCAACCAGCAATGATTATTTTTCCAGAGCTGAAGGGGGGAGTGACCGTAGCAACGGAGTAGGCTATAGTAACTAGAAATATGGCGTATGTCATAAGCACGTGTTAACAGTGTTAGTGTAATTACTCTAACTGCTGGAAGGGGGAGACAAAAGTTCAGCACTGCAGCTTTAATAAAAAGTCAGAAAAAATCAAATCAAAAATCATAATTTCCCAGGGCACCCTAAGCTCACCTGGCACCCCATGTTCCAAAGCTGAGTCCTTGCTACAGTGGCCATGGGTCTGACTCCAACCTGTGGCTCTTTGCTGCGTGTCACCATTTATCTCTCTCCCCCCTTTCCTGTCACTGTACAGCTGTCAGTTAAAGCCCCAACAAATATAAAAAATAATTTTAAAAAAAGCAACAAATTCTCACATTTGAGATTCCTGAACCAACAAATGTTTGGACTATTTCCGTCACACACTTTCATATGAAAGTCTCACGAGTTGATGATGTATTGTCTGTCGACTGATTGCCTAATCATTGTTTCACCACTACCGTAATTATGAATAATCATTATCATTATCACTTTCTCACCTGTCCTTGCCCGTCTCCTTCTTGAAGAGCTCATCAAACTGCAGCATCTTCTGCCAGGAGATTATGTAGACTTTGAGTTTGGGCAGCACCTGGTTCATCAGTCTCAGGTTGTTGTATACTAGGCCCTTCCCATCGCGTCTCATGTAGCTGCTGGGGCCCCAGAAGATGAACACCGTGTCCTGGCTGGCGTTGAGCAGCTCGTGGCGACTCCGCAAGACCCTCTGCATGCTGGAGTGAGCGATGACGCGCAGGGATGTGCGGCGGCCGACGTCGTGGGCGTAACCCCGGGCGGTGGGGGCATCGTTCATGCGGATGACGCACTCGGCCCGGTCGATCTCTTCACCCCTGCCACCTCCGATAAGGTGACCTGAGCTGGTCACCAGGGCGCAGGTCTGGCAGTGCATCCTGAGAGGCTGATAGATGCAAGAAAGAAAGGAGAAAAACAAGAATGAAGTAAACAAAAAAAAAATACATTTCTCATACAAATACTGTGCATGAAAACATTTGGCCTCTTCATTCCCTGTGGAAGCACCTGCAGCACTGCCAGCAGAATTTCTATGTTAGTTTTACACCATATTTGTTATAAACTCTACAAACTCTTTTCAGAAGTCAGAAATGCTCTAAAAGTTCTGTTTAGCCCTAGTTTATACAGAAATATGCAAAGCAGACAGAAATGCACACCTAGGGGAACTTTGGTAGAAAGCTTCACAATGTGTTTGAGGCAGAAAATTCTTTGTTGACAAATGGGTAGTGACAGAGCCTCCTGGGGATATGTAGCTTGTCATATTGCTTTGCGATTGGTAGAAACCCCGGGGTCTTAAGGATTCACCTTAAATCTTTCTCCCACTCGCACACAACAGAGAAATGTGTGTTTACCTGCAAAACAGCGGTTCTGATGCAAAAGATTCCTATTGAATTCTTATCAAATACAAACCTATAAAGTATTCAGAATATGACATTTTTTATATGGAAAAAGATACAGCTGATAAGAACATAATGATATGGATTGCAACCAGAACATGTGTGTTTAACCTGGTGCACCTTTGTTTCATGTACAAATGAATGCATATGAGGGCATATGAGTTGCCATGTACAGTACATGTACACACTTGTGTTTATTTTCATTATATCTCTCCTGAGAATCTTATTTTTAACTTTGTTTGTCAATGCGTTGACATGATAATACATTGTGACCTCTTGTTCTTTGTTTTTCTCGATGCTTGATTTAAATTTGAAAAATGAATCTGATTGAAACAAACACTGCCAAAGCCACAAAGTGAACAAATAAATCTTTGCAACATATTGTCTAACAATTTAAGTTGACCTAAAACAATCAGTCAAACAGCAGATGAATCATTTATGTCAAATATTGAGCAAACATCCAAAAAAAATCTGGTTCCAGCTTCTCATTTTTGAATAATTGCCTGTTTTATTAGTCTTCAACAGTATGTTAGTAAATAGAATAGCTTTGAGTTTCTGACTGTTAGTTGAATAAGACAAGCAATAGGAATATGTCAGCTGTGAAAATTGTAATGGTCATGTTTCACTATTTTCTGACATTTTATCAGCTAAATCAATAAAATAATGAAAATAAGAGGTTCAGCCATAGAGATGTTCCACTAAATAAAACAAGCATTTTTGAATTTAAATTACATCTATGCCCTTAACTATAAAAACTCTATTCATTTTGACATATTCCTGCTCAATGTACTGTTATTTTTCTTGACACAGTCATACAGTCGTCCCCTGTTGTTGACGCAGCCACTGAAATCTTTCATTTGTACATGCATAGTTCATTAAGGGTCTGGCCTCTTTCTCTCTACAGCATGCTCATTTGAGGGTGTGCATGTAAATAAATCATTAACATTGGACCTATTTGTGTATGTTAAGCTGCTCTACATGTTGCTTGTGTATGTGTGTGTGTGTGTCTGTGTGTGTGTCTGTGATTTCTCTTGCTTGAACACAGACCCCTGCAATGAAAATCAATGATATGCAAACCAGGCCTGCAGAGCACTGTAATGTGCCCTGAAATATCTCCCAGCAGAAATATGGTGGTTATTTACATTCTTATAGCCATGACAAATTTACATTTTCATGGCATTAACAAGAACAAATGATTATAGCTGGATGTGTGTGTGTGTGTATTTGTGGAGGGGGGGAATGTCATCATCATCCTCATCTGCTGACTTTGACTTAGTGGCAGATTACCAGCCGAGCAGGCTCATCTAGTTAATGAGACCTTAAGGAGCAGTGGGAGAAAGATTGAGAGAGAGGGAGAAAGTAGAGGTGGCAAAGAGAAGGGGACAGAAATAAGGAAGTGTGAGAAAGTGGTTACAACAAGAAAAAAAAAAAAAAAAAGAAAAGATGGCGAAAGAGAAAGAGATATATGACGGCAGTAAGAGCCACCCCGGTGCCATAGTGTTTGATGAAATGTTGAGCTAATGAGGTCCTGGCGGTCTACACCATCAACAGCAGCAGCATCCATCCATTCCTCCCATCTCCCCCTGCCCTACCCTTTCCCACCTAGCAGCGCCTTGACAGCCAATCTGGCTGTAGAGCTGCGGCACCAGTGGAGCAGGTCAGAAATCCCATTTTCACCCAGGGGCTTTTAAGTGGCTCCACAGACCCTATTCTCTCTTCCTCTGTCTCACGGAGAATTTAAGTGGGCCTTGCTGGCCAGAATTGGCCTCTTCAGGGAGCTCGGTCAGGTTATTACCAAGAAATAGGCTGGATGGTCTGGACAAGGCTCTCCATTTCTGCCGGAATTACGTGACCCATTCAATATGGTGGTTTGGTTTGAGGCGATGGAGTCGAGGTAAACTGTAGTTTTCCCTCAGAACTGGCTGAACTGAACATTTCATAAAAAGTGAATTTATCCTCGAAAAACTCCCATGAAAATTGTGCCCCACTCAATGATTCATGGAATAAACGCTCCATAATTCAAAGCACATCTATCATTTATGCATTTGAAATCGCTAGCTTTGTTCTTTCAAACACAACAAAACACCTTTGATAGTAATTAAACAACTTACTGTGTCTAAACTGCGGGTGTTAAGGTTCTTAAAAAGTGTATTCCATCAGTGTCCTGTTACATCGCCTGATCAAAGCTGCAATCAGTAATGTAAGCCAAGTGAATATCCAAACTAAATAATGTATTCTGATTACCATCAGGCTATTTTTGTCTCACAGGAGGCATAAAAATAGAGAAGAAAGAAGAAAAAGAAATGTTTTTTTCAGGTTTGCACAAAACAAACACTCAATTCTCTGCTGATCACAAAACAGTGGAGCCTTATCTGACTTTTCCAAGAAGCTATTCTTACTTTTCAGATAATTCAACAGAACACACAAACCATTCCAGGGACTTATTCCATTTTCAAATTCACAATGAAGCAACACGAGTCTATGTTTCTTCTACAAGCCGAGGGAAGTCTGATTAGAAATGGATTTAGAGGCATATGCCTACTTTGGCAGGAGTTGTGTGCACTCTGTTCAGCGGGGTATCTTGGGCTGGTATGGCACTGTGTAGATGTGTGTGCAAGTACATTCACTCAAGTACGATACTTAAATATAATTTATGCTACTTTATACTTCAACTCCACTACAATTCTGAGGTAAATATTGCACTTTTTACTCCACCACTACATCGATCTCATAGCTGTATAGTTATTTTTCAGAGAAACACTTACAGAGGAAACATATGATAAGTATTAGTTGTTTGTATTTCTTTATGTTAATAAATCCCATGTCTGGGATTCTTTGGTTGTTTTGGGTCAGTGGTGCAGTGTTGTTTGCACCATAGGGCCACTTAAGGGTGGGGCATAAGAGTTATAAAATACAAAACGTTATAGATTGCAAAGAAGCAGTGTTTAATTGGTGTACCACCGTGTTTTATGACTAACAATACGAGAAAAGTCACAAAAATTACTACAAATACAAACAGAACCTTGTTTTTGTTACCATAAATGTTCTCACAACCTCCCAGATTTATCATGTGACCTTTGGCCCGAGCCCTAGGTTGAGAACCACTGGCCTAAACTACCTAACCGTATATAAAGTAGTTCAACAGCTCCACCTCAAGCAACTACAACAGTAAAATGCTCCTTACACTCTGATGCATACACTCCAACAGCGTCATATATAATCAGCCAAACAAGAATGATTTCTTTTACTTTTGATATACTTTAAGTGCACTTTGCTGATAATACCACTGTACTTTTACTTCTTAAGTTTTGGAAGCAGCATCACTCTGTGGACTGCAGCTGTCTGACGTCATTGGATTTAACATGCACACGGTAACTTTCAAACTGAGGTTGTTGCAGCCAGTATAACATAACCCTTCCATTAACAGCTAGACCTTTTAAAAACCATCAAGAATTCATTCAGTGCCTACGCATGCACATTAGGGTATGACTGTATATATGTATTTATGACTATATGTCAGCTGTATGTATAATGTGTACAGGCTTTGAGTAAAAATTTCCCTTCAGGAACAATAAATACCATCCATCTATTATTCGACTGGCTGAAGAGGAGCAGAGATGTTGTAGAGCTGTCACAAACTATTATACTAAAATAACTGCAAATTATTTTCTAAATTAGTTCATTAATGTTTTGGCCTCTAAATATCAGAAAATAATGAAAATGCCCGTCATAGTTTTCCAGAAAAAAAAGTCTTGTTTTGTCTGACCAACAGTCCAAAAGCCAAAGAAATTAATTTTACTATCAAAGCAAACAGAGAAAAGCAGTAAATCCTCATGTTTGAGAAGCTGTGACCGAGTAAGCTTACAACTTACTTACTTATTAGCTCACAGAACACCAAAATCATTTTACATTTCATAGTAGATTTTCAGCCTAAGAGGGATGAAGTGTAACCTTGTCCCACTTGTGGAACACGCCAGGAGCCTGCCCTGGTTTCATTAAGCCCATCCATCCATCCACAGCGGCCTAGTAAAAGTACAAAACACCAACCTGCAGACAGACAACAGCCAGTCACATGTCTGCTCTGCCTGCAGGAGCGACAACCCAGACAGCGGGGGCCGCCCCCTCCTCTGTTTCCTCATTCTGTCGGCATCTGAACTCTCCTCTGCTTCCAGCGAGCCTGTCCTTCAACGGGCTGTATGAACCATCACTGCCTGCCCAAACACTCGCCCTGCCTGACTTCCTGACCCGAGGAAAACATGCCTGTCAGAGCTGTGGGGATTAACCTTGAGAGGTGGTGGAGGGGGTGAAAGGGAGAGGCTGCTCGGTCCCAGACCACCTGGGCAGGCGGTATCCTTGAGAGCAGAGGTAGACGGGGGTGGACGGGTGAGATATTACTAGAGAGTGTTCTGGTGTTGATTTAAGAACTGAATAAATATGATGCTAGTCATAAAAAATGTGTTTCCGGTGTTATTAAGGTCATTTGGAACAAAAA